TGCGCAAGCATGAGGCCCTGTGTTCAAAGCCCAGTTACCACCAAAGAGACTCAAAGAATGAGAAGAAGTTGATGCTTAAAAAATTCTGTTTCTGGCCAGGTTCTGGTGGTTCACACCTGTAATCACAGCTACTCAGGAGGTGGAGATCAGAAGGATCACAGCTCAAAGCCAGCCTGGGCAAGCAGTTCTCGAGACCCTATTTCGAAAATACCCAACACAAATAAGGGCTGGCAGAGTGGCTCAAGTGGTAGAGTGGCTGCTCAACAAACATGAGGCCCTGAGTTCAAACCCCAGCACCACCAAAAAAAAAAAAAAAATTCTGTTTCTGGATTTAAAAACAGAGCAGACCACAGGTAAAAACTGAACAGTTTCTGGTAACACAGAGCAACTCCCAGCCAAGAAATGGGATTTTCGGTTCTTCAACAGTGAAGAATAGTATTTGGCCAGCAACTTGAATCAGTTTAGAAGCAGGTTCTTCCTTAGACCTGTTAGAAAGAAATGCAGCCATCACCTGGATTACAACCCAACACTTGTAAGACCTTAGCATAAGCAGAGAATCTAGGCACTCCACACCCAGTAAGCTAAGTACTGTCTTAGATTACTGAATTTGCACTTATTTGTTATGCCACAATAGGCTAATAAGGGGCTATTATGAACTTTATACCAACAAATTCTCCAAAGGACAAAAACTATCAAAACTGACACAAAAGAAATAGAAAATCTGACTACCTATGTTCCACTTATAAAATTAAATTCCTAATTAAGTCTTCCCACAGAGAACTCAGGGCTCAGATGGCTTGGAGTAAATTTTCTCAAACACTTAAGGAGGAGAGACTACCAATTTCTCATGCACTTGTTCAGAAAAGAGGAAGGGAAGGCTTCTCGACTGATTAATTCACTTCTGTGGTACTGGGGATCGAAACGAGGGCCTTGTGCATGCTAGGCAAGTGCTCTGTCTCTGAGCTGCAACTACAGCTTCTCAACTCATCTATAAAGGTAACCGTATCCTGACATAAAATCAGAGAAGGGCATTACATGTAAAGTGTAGCGCTGGAGATGTGGCCCAATGGGAAGAATGCCTGTCTAGCAAGTGTAAGACCCTGGGTTCCAGCCCCAGTACAGAAGAAGGAAGAAGAGGAGGAGGAGGAGGAGTAATAATGTAGACTAATATCCCCAATGAATAGAAAATATTAATAATTCAAATTAAGCAATACATAAAAACGCTAATACAACTTTACTAGGTGGGGCTTACTTTAGAAATGTAAGGTTGGTTTCAACTTTTGAAATGATTAAATTAACCGACTGAAATATAAAAACCATGTGATCATCTCAATAAATGCAGAAAAAGGAAATTGTCAAAGTGTAACACCCTTTCAGGATAAAAGTTGTCAATGAACTGGAGGAAATTCCCTGCCTTTCTTTAGGATTAAGAGCACAATGAGAGGCTGGAGGCATCACTCAAGTGGGAGAACACCTGCCTAGCAAGTGTGAAACGAGTTCTAGCCAGTGCCACCAGAGAGAGAGAGAGAGAGACTGCACAGCAAGAATAGTTACTATGATGACTAATTTTGTGTGTAAACATGATCAAGCTGCAAGATGCCCAGATATTTAGTACACATTATTCTGGGTGCTTCTGTTGAGATACTCAGTCAATTTTCTGGTGTTTTAGGATGGTACTAACATTGGACTCAGTAGACTGACTATGGCAGATAACCCTCCCTAATGTGGGCTGGCTTCATCTGAATAAAGCGAAAAAGCTGACCCTCACCCAAGTAAAGAGAGAATTCTTCCTACCTGACTGCCACTGGACTCTAACGGAATACTGGCTCTTCCTGGCCTCAAGCCTGCCGGCCTTTAGGCAGACACTACATCCTCAGCACTCCCAGCTCCCAGGCTTTTGGGCTTGGGCAGAACTGGACCTACACCACTGGCTCTCATGGGTCTCCAGCTTGCCAACTTACCCGTAAGATCCCGAAGTGGAATTGCTCACCTCCATAATCATGGGAGCCACTTCTTTGTAATAAATCTCTGGTATATAGATATACTTGTATTTAATAAGATAATATAATCTATGTGCATCTATTTAGCTATACATACATATGTATCTATAGACCTATAAAAACATCTATCTCCTACTGGCTCCTATTTATAGGGAGACCCCGAAGTAATCCATCTACTCTCATCACTTCTACTTAGTAATGCACTTGAGGTCCTTGCCAGGGCATTATGTGAAGAAAAAAGTTTGGAAAAAAAGAAGTAAAGCTGCAATTTTTTTTCAGACTTCTCTTTAACATTAAACTAGAGTGTTGAACTTGTGTAGCAAAATGTAGCTGCAGGAAATCATGTCATAATTACACTGAATTTACTGAAATTCAACTACATAATCCCATGGGTGGGGGAGAAAAAAAGAAAGAGACCTAGATGGGGTATGGTAGGGAGAGATACAATAAATAATACAAGTTAGTAAGCCATTACTCCTCTTTCTATACACATGACCACAATCAATAGACTCCAGCCTGAGGGCTGGAGATGTGGCTCAACCAGTAAGAGCCCCACAGTTCAAACCCAAAACAAACTAAGAAACAAACAAAAACTGCGTAGAATCCAGCTTGATAGTAAACTGACAAACCTAAAAACATAAAAATCAATAATTTTAGACATTTTGCCACTGACAAAGAAATAAAGCATAATATTCAAGAGAAAAATAAAGAACACAGAAAAGACTTCTTTAATCTTCTTGAGGAAGAAATTGAACAGTAATAAAGAGAAATAACAAGTACAGAAAAATTAAGCAACTGATAAACTCTCTTCAGGGCTGCAGGCAAAGCTCAGTAGTAGAGTGCTTGCCTAGTATGTGCGAGGCCGTGAGTCCAACCCTCAGCACCGGAAGAAGAAAAAAATGAACTGAGTGAATTTGGAAGAAAAAAAGAGAGGAACTGATAAATTATCTTCAAGAGACAGATAAAATAACCTACAAACTGGAAGAATGAGTAGGAATTCCCATTTATTACTATATATTTTATACATCTGTACACAAAACTCATAGGGTAAAAGCATAGATGTGTATACATATATAAAATATGTACTATATTCCATATGATTTTAAAAGCAACTTTGACTGTATATGATTTCTGCCTTTAAGAATGAATTTCCCTACTGAATACTTAGTAATCCATAGGAATGACCAAGATTATTAAAAAGTAAATAAATCAGATTATAGACTAATGTATCACTTTATTCTATAACAAATCAACCAATTAAGAAATAAATACAACCAAAACCTTTCTGAGTCCAGACTGTGTGTGTGTGTGAATTTGAATATGAATATAACACACTGGCAAGGCTTGTTGAGTTTCAATTCCTTATGATGGTAAGACGTGAAAGAAAGAGAAAAATAAAATCATTGCTAAAATAGAAAACAGACAAATTGGTCATAAACACACATACAACACATAAAATGAAAAATTTAGTGCCTGTTGTGGTGGTGCATGACTGTAATTCCAGCGACGTAGGAGGTGAGACAGGAGGATTGCAAGTTTGAGCCCAGCCTGGGGAAATGTCAGTAAGACCCTATCTCAGAAACAGAAATAAGGTTGGCAGAGTGGCTCAAGCACTAAGAGCACCTGTTTAGCAAGCATGAGGCCCTGAGTTCAAGCCCCAATACCTCAAACAAACAAACAAACAAAAACCCAAAATAAAAACAAAAGGATGGGGTGTGTGGCTCAAGAGGTAGGTAGTGCCTTTGGCTAGCATATGTAAAGCCCTAGGTTCAATTCCCAGTAAAGCAAAAATAAGAAAGAAAAAAAAAATCTACCTGAACATAAGATCAAAGCCCTTACTTTCATTTTTTTTTTTTTTTTTGGTGGCACTGGGGCCACAAAACTAAGGGCTCATGCTTGCTAGGCAGGCTCTCTTACCAAAGCCCTTAATTTAATGACACTACTCAAAGAATATTTTAAGTTATGTTTATTCATGGTATACTACATATACAAAGTGATGTGATTACTATATTTAAGTAAATTATCACACAAGATTACCTTCCCTTTTTTCCCCCCCCCTCTGGTAAAAGTCCCTAAAATCTACTCTCTTAGCAAATTTCCAGTACATAACATATTAACTATAGTCTTCATGTTGTATGTACATTAGATCTTTGGAATTATTCATCCAAGATAACTCTTTGTGCCCTTTAACAGACATTTCTCTATTTCCCATCCCTCAACCCTGATAACTACCTTTGCACTCTCCCAAGGAATCTTTAATATCATGTGTAAAAGTGAGTGACTTAAGCTCAGTGTGGTGGTACACACCAATAATCCTAACTGAGGCAGGAGGATAATAAGTTCCAGGTCAGCCTGGGCTACACAGCTAGACTCTGTCTTTTTTTTGGGAGGGGGCAGGGAAGAGCAAGCAAGTGGCTGGTAATTTTTGGCAAGGTGACTCTGAATATATACTCATGCCAACAAAACATGTGAAGTGAACTGGATCTCTTTCTTGGATCGAAAAACTATTCTTAGTTTTCTGACCACCAAAAAAGGGAAAATGTATGCTTTATACTTTGAGGCAAAATGCCTTGTTCGATCTTTATTTAATTATTTAGAATTGTGCAATGAACCCCACGTGTTATCAACTTGTGGTCTATAATGCAGTCATCTACTTTCTTCCAGGAAGTGGTATTACATATTCTCTGTGTTCAGCAAGTTTAAAGAAAATAAAGGCTAAAGTGGAGGTTGAATGCAGTTCTGGCAAGGCTGACAGTAAAGTAAGCTCACATAGAAACTTGTGAATTGTAGTTTGGTTTAAATTTCTCAATCTATAAATAAAATTTGTTGGTCTTTCCATCAGATCTCTAGCCACTCAAAAAAATACTTAAAATATGGTAATCTCTATCACATGTTAATTGACGGGTATGAGTAAAATTTAATCTCTAATGTGACATTATTTGAGTGTATAAGTTATTCAATAACAAAACATAAAGCAAAATGAATTCTGAAAGTACTCACTTTGACAGTTTCTTCTGTGTTAAGTTTATTTCCCTTCACCAAGACAATTTGGAAAGGGTTGTTATTGTCCCAAACATGCTGCAAAATAAGGAATCAAGAGGTATTTTAATGAAAGAAATTAATATTCTATAATAGCCATGAAAATCATCTACCAGCTCTCAAGTCCATTGGCAAAATTATGAAAACAGAGCTCTGAATTAGCAATTGAAAATCATGTATATTAAATTAAGCATTACTGGAGATGTGGCTCAGTAATACAGTATTTGAGTTTGATTCCCAGCACAAGGAAGGAAGGGAAAAAAAAGAAAGAGACTGCTAAGACAAACAGTAATAATATTGCCGGGTGCCAGTGGTTCACGCCTATAACCCGGCTACTCAGGAGACAGAGATCAGCTCATGAGACCCTATCTCAAAGAAAAAAAAAAAAAAAAGAAAAGAAAAAAAATCCATCACAAAAAAGGGCTGGAGGAATGGTACAGGGTGTAGGCCCTGAGTTCAAATCCCAGTACCACAAAAAAAAAAAAAGCAGTAAGTTATAACCACTAGCACTTGGTTTTCATGGCAAAACAGCCAACATTCTACTACCTCTAAAGGATACCAAAAAAACCCAAATATTAAAAGCTTTGGACAGACTGACTATATTAATATAGTGACCATACTATCAAGGAACAGTTATATATATACTTTCTAAAGATTGAGTAACTGATAAAAAAAAATGTTAACTGTTCAAATGAACACAATGTTTATTTTATAAAACATATAATATTCATGAAAAAAACACTATTTTGAGGCAGGTATGGTGAGGCACACCTGTAATCCTAGCACTTGGGAGGATGAAGCAGGAGGATCTCAAGTTCAAGGCCAGCCTATGCTACACAGCAAGACCCTTTCTCAAATAAACAATAACAACAGGTGGCTCAGGTGGTAGAGCACTTGTCTAGCATGCATGAGGCCCTGAGTTCAATCCCCAGTACTGTGCAGAAAGAAAAATAACAAACAAAAAAACACTACTTTGGGTAAGCTGATATAAATAAAACACACTGATAATTCAACTATTTCTGCACAACAACTCTTTCTACATATCTAGATATTCTACTAGAATGCCTCAAATTGCTCATTCCAACTCTAGGTTTAAAGTCCAATCTCTAATCTGATGATTTTGGGGGGGACAGCAAGAAAGTGAATGGCATATTTATGTTTATTTGTATGAGCAAAGAAAAATGATAGAAAGCTCATTTTTAAGTAAATGGTGATGTGTCTGGCAAACAGGCACTGGTTTTCACATAAGAAGTGAGCAAAAGGAGGGCAAGGGGCATAGCTCAAATGGTAGAGTGCTTGCCTAGCAAGTGCAAGGCCCCACCCCAGGTTCAACCCGCAGTACTGCCCATAGGTAGGTAGGTAGGTAGGTAGGTAGATAGATAAATAGACAGACAGACAGACAGACAAAGTAGGTAGGTAGGTAGATAAACAAGTCAGCAAAGGACATGTGTGTGAGACTTCGTATACAACCTAATAAAACCACATGCTTTCTTGGGGTTACAAGGTTCACAGATGGAACTTACAGAAATAACTCGTGTTTTCTTTGGTGGCAAAGGAAGAGGAGGGTTGGATGAATTCCGACTTATAGCAGCCTCGATGGCAATCATTTCCTGTTCATACATTTTCTTGATCTTGCAGCATTCCACAAGTATAAAATGGGGCAGGGTCCTATTCATCACACAGTTCCGGATATACTACAGTGGTAAGAAAGAAGGTATGTATTTTCAGGCAGATACTTAAATCCACAGAATACAAGTAATTTGAACAGCACTATACCAAAAGCACTGTAAAAGTATATCTTAAACAACTCAGTATCAAGTATCAAGATAATTTAAGGTGGGGCACAGTGGCTCACAACTGTAATCCCATTAAGCCAAGAACATACATAACTGCAAATAAAAATGACAGAAACATGCCACAATGTTACCAATGATAATCTCAAAGGTAGGGTAGAATTACTGACATCTATTATTTAACTCTGTGTAACTTTCTGTAGGTTCTAAGTGCTCCACTATGGACACACTTTTTCTTAAATCAGAAATAAAAGATAACACACTCTTCTGAGAAGCTGATAGCTGATACACATACCTGGAACTGAATCAGCGGGTGATCACCAAACACATACTCCACTCTGCCACTGACTTGCAGCACATAGTCATAGGGGCTGGCTTCATCCTCCCTCCCATGAACAGTCAAACGCTTCTGGATTGCCAACTCATTTATTTTGATAGGATTCATATCAGGAGATACTTGAAAGCTAAACACATCCTAAAAACAGAAGCAGGAAATTTTTATAATTGTGCTGGAAAATCACAATAACAACCAGTTTATAATAATAAGTACAAATGTGCCTAATATTTGCATGTGTACAATCTTTGTCCTTTATATTCCAGTAAATTTTTCTGTATTATAAATATATGCCCATATAAAATTTCCTAAGATTTATGATAACTTGCAAGTCATTTACTGACCTCACAAGTAAGACTAATATTTCACTAAAGTTTATTATCAGGTAGTAAATCATGTACTTTCCAGAGAACATTTTTCTTTAAGATGTTACAGAGCCTGGGGCTGGAGGCATAGCTCAGTGGGAGAGCATATGCCTAGCATGCATGAGACCCTAGGTTCAATCCCCAGCACTGAAAAAAAAAATTAAGTCTATATGAAAGAAAAAATGCATATGTTGGTACCTGGTAAGAAAAGATCCATTGTTATAAGGACAAAACTACACATGGACAAATCTGTCCAATTTTACAAACATGGAAAGAGAAATACATAATTTCTAGTGCTAGGGATAGAACCTAGGGTCTTTGCATAGAAATGAAAAATAAAGATGAAGGATTAACATGTCTGTTCATCATAAAACCCAATGGTACAAAGAAATATTACAGATTCTCTGATAATATGAAATCCTCTCATAATCTAACACAGTAATTTTCAACCATATGGTCATGTACCAAAGATGTAAGATGTTCAGTATCTCCCAAAGCAGCCAACTGCTACTGTAGACAGCTGCAATTGTTAGAAAATTCTCTACTGACCTGACATCAATTTTGGAATATTTTAAATTAATTTAAATCACTTCCTTTTTCTATAAGATATCTCAAATTCAAACTTATTAACCCTAAACCTCTTAGGTTTCATATTTGTTTTTTCTAGTATTTTTGCCTTTTTCTCCTGTATTTTCCATAAGGCCCTCATCAAACTCTGAATCATCTAGTGCCTAGATCTTGGACTTCCCAGCTTCTACAACTGTGAGAAATAAATTTCTATTGTTGACAAGCTGCGTAAACTATGTATTCTATTATAACAGCCTGATTAGAATAAGACGGTTTCATATGCATCAACACATACAGGCTAGGATAACTGGAGCCACTTTGAGAAGTTACATAACTCCCCTTTTCTTTCCCACTTCACTTCCCCAAAAAATATCAATGATCTATATGCTTGGTTTTTTTGACTGGGGTTTGAACACAGGACTCCACTTGCAAAGCAGGTGCTCTATTGCTTGAGCCATGCCTCCAGTCCAATGATCAATGTCCTAATGATTCTGCAAATCCCTCACCTTCTTCCCAATGACTTTCTCATACTTCAGGTTCTTCACATCTCCCTAACTAGCAACAACACCTTCTTGTGTTATCCCTTTACCTCTTGTATTATCAACCTCAAAAGTAACCACTGCTCCTTCAGAAACTAACCTGTCTTTAAAGGAACGTCATGGAGGGCTAGAGGTGTGGCTCAAGTGGTAGAGTGCCTGCCTCACAGGCATATTACCTTGAGTTCAAACCTCTGTACCACCAAGAAAAAAAGGGGTGTGGGCAAGTAAGTCATAGAAAGATATGCTACTCTTTCAAATATAATAGAAATGATCATAACTGCCTAAAATTGTGCTACTCAGTAAACTTTCTGTACTAGTGGAAAAACACTACATTGTGCTGGTAAATACAATAGCTCTACTCACAAATAGCTCTTAGGCACTTGATTTGTTGCTAGTATGAAAAAATGAATGAATTTATTCATTCATTCATTTATATTGTACTGTGGATTAAAGCCAGAACCACACTGCTGGGCAGGCCCTCTACCACTTCAGCTACTCTCCCAGCCCTTTTGGTTTTTACATTTTTGTTTTTGTGACAGGGTCTCCTAACTTTGCCTGGGATAGCATGGAACTCATGAGCCTCCTGTCTTCACCTCCCAAGTAGCTGGGATTAGAGGCATGAGCCACCACACCCAACAGAAATGAATTTTTATATTTAATTTAAAAAATCTAAATATAGACACATGGTCAACAACTGCTATATTAAATAGCACAAGTTTAAATGATAAAAATCCAAGTTCTTTAATGTGTCGTGAAATAATTCTATAATTTCCTCTATATTCCACTCCATACATAAATGGTTCAGAAACATTCTTATTATAACTCACATTTCTGTAAGTTCTTAATAGAACTCATTAGTTCTTATTAGAACTAATGGAATCGGGTTTGAAAAACAGCAGTCATTAATAGAATATAAAATGAATTAATATTTTTCAAGAATTAAGAGCAGCTTAAAATAAGTTATGAGCAAATATATCTGAAGAATCAAAGAGCAGTCCAAGAAACAAAACATAAATGAAATTCCATAGTCAAAGAAAAGAGAACGGCAAACTTAATTTTTCAAATTGACAGCATCAAATATTATCAAAGATAGGAGAAACCAAACTCCCCTGCTGGGAACATAAACTGGTACATCCAGCCAGGCACCAGTGGCTCATGCCTGTAATCCTAGCTACTCAAGAGGCAGGGATCAGGAAGATCATGGTTCTAAGTCAGTCTGGGCAAATAATTCAGGAGACCCTATCTTGAAAAATACCCAACACAAAACAGGGGCTAGTGGAGTGGCTCTAGTGGTAGACTGCCTGCCTAGCAAGCATGAGACCCTGAGTTCAAACCCAAGTATCACAAAAAAAAAAAAAAAAAAAAAAAAGAGTATATCCAACTGAAGAACTGTCTGGTGATATCTAATAAACTGATTAGACACACATCCCTACAATTTTCCAACTCTGTTTCTAGGTATGCCCCCAACAAAAATACAGAGTAGCAGTATTCCGTGTATTTGCAGTTGGTCTTCATACAATCTGTGTGTGTGCTTTCATGTACATGCATATATAACAACTGAGGAAAGCTGAACACTGACTAGAATTTGAGGATAAGAAGCAAGCAAAATAGATCAAAGAAGACAAAGAATGAAAAGATAAGCTACATACTGGAAGAATACATTTGCAGTACTTTTTTTTTTCTTCCTGGAGACAGAGTCTTGCTATATTGCCTCAAACTCCTGGGCTCAAGCAAACCTCCTGCATCCTGAGAAGATGGGACTAAAGGCATGTGCTATCTCATCCAGCTTTGCAGAACATATTAATGAAAGGATGAAAACTCCCCACCCCAGTCAAAACCTTCATAAATCAGTGAGAGTAACACAACCTAACTTTTAAAATACACAAAAATAAACAAACACAATAGAAAAAAGTATTTTGTAAGTATGTGAGAAAACATTCATCTTCATCAGCTTTGGTGGGAGGAAGCAATCACAAAGAAGATGGAGGTCGTTTTCATTCTCACTCTAGAGACTAAATGCCTTCAGTCTATTAAAAGTGTATTCTTTTCCTAATAAACTTTACTAATCACTTTTACTACAGAAGGAGGAGGAGGAAAATAGACTGTAACAGATTCATATAATGAAATTGTATATATAGTCAGGATTTCAAAATATTCCCCCAAATGCCTCTCTTAATTCTTTGAAAGCAAATTCTTATCTTTTAAAGAACTGGGGCTGGAAGCCTGGCTCAAGAAGTAAAGCACTTGCCTAGCAAGGCCAAGTTTCAAACCCCAATATTCCACCCCCCCAACAAAATACCACCTGTCATCTAGATTAAGGAGAATTCAATTGGACTGGTTTTTCCTGTATTTCAAGCAGTTCTTCAACAACACTTTCAATGACTTCATAAGACTTGTAATTGTACAAGGCAATCCATTTGCATTGTATTATCCAATGCTTACAAACAGCTGTAGACTGGAGACACCCAACAGACAAGCACATGGGTGGGGACAGAAACTTTGTTTAGAAGGCAGGAACCCAAATCACTAATGACTGGATTCACATATGAGCACTGTGGAAATTCAGCCTACCTGGGTAAGGAAAGGTTTATTTTTGATGGCTTCATTCTACGTGCTTCAATGTTTCTCGTGTTTCTGGCCATCCTTCTGCTACAGTCTTTGCAGTGCCCCCAAGTATCACTCTTCATTTCCTTACACACCCTCCAGCCTTCACCAGGAGACTACTTCAAATTATGTGCCCCCCCACCCCAATTATTTCTTACCCTGAAAGTGGCTGAGGCAAAAAACCAACTTTGAATGTACTGCTAGGGTTTATCAGTATCCTTTACAAACTGTGACTACTGGAATTAAAAATTATGCAGGCTGGGTTAGAGGCTCAGTGGTAAAGCCCTTGCTTTGTATGTGTAAGGTTGTGGCTCTCCAACACCACAAAACAGTAATCATAATAAAAGAATAACAATAATACATGCGGGGATTTCACTGGAACTGTTGTTTTGTAAAGCTGAGACACAATAGGCCCATGACTCTCTTGACCTTGTTTCTTAAGTGCTCTGGTCTAAGGCTGCCTGATTCGGACTATCCAGTCACTCAGTGTGCTGTGTCTTTCACAGCAACTGCTGCCTAGCTTTCCTCCTACCAGTCCCATGGTTTTTAACCAAACAGCTATCTTGTTACATTTCTCTGATTTTTAGTTTGCCATTTCTCACTTGTTGCTTCTCATGGGCTAGAGTGATAATCAGCAGTTGATGGTGAAATGGTCAATGAGCATTTTACAGAAGGGGGAGAGGAGTGGGCAGAGAATGAATGAATATATGATGGAGTGGGTGGCCAGGGGCTTGTATTCTGAGATTGTGTCGCTCTTATTTTTTAGTAGTATCTATCACTTAAGAAATTCTATCAGTAATAAATTATTGTTTTGGGTTTATTTTACTTGGCCAAATAAAATCTAAATTGTATGTGACTTCTCAAACATTTTTAAAAACTTAATAATTTTACTGGTCTATACAATCCAAGTATCTAGGAACTTGTGTTTAATGCTTTGGGGAAATGTTTACCTGAAGAAAAGGAGACCAGGGGAAAGGCATATCAGCTACATTTTCAACTATCTCAATATCTAGCGTGCAAAAGAAAAGGAGATTTCAGGGATACTACGCTGAAATGGCAAAAGTCAGAAGACAAGATGAACTTTTAAAATGGATACTACGCTGAAATGGCAAAAGTCAGAAGACAAATGAACTTTTAAAATTTTTTAAATTGAAATTTTAAATATATGATGCACACAGCGTAAACAAATTACTACAGGCGGCATAGGACACACATCTACACAGCAGTAGCTGTAAAAGGAATTATACAGACTCTAACCACGTTCTCTCTCAGTTCCTTTCAACTTCAAAATCTATGGCGCTTGGAGTCCAGTCAGATTTCATTAAGATCTTCATCTACTATGTATACAGGATTCTGTGTTTAGAGGATGCTTACATTAAAATGTGTCTATCCCACTAGAGATTTCACTCATCTCTAATGCAAATCAACTGGCCCAAAAAAGGCAAAATTACCCTGAGTCAGGGTTTCAAGCTGAATTTTAATCAACAGTAATATCCTTATTCTACCTCTTAGTACAAAAGTCCCTAAAATATTTTAAATCTTGAAACCTGATACTTTATAATACTTAACTCTTGACTCAAATTGAACTTTTACTCAATTTACCTCAGAACAGACTAAAAATGCATTCCCCCCAGGCAAGTTTCTTATCTGGGGAAATGCCTGAAAGCAGGATGCTTTTATCACATCTGTCCTAAGAAATACTTTTTAACATGTTTTCTAAAAGGAAGCAAAACTGTACAAAAACCAGACACCTGGATAAAGTCCTGGTTCTACTGTTGACTATTAGGCCTGGCACAAAACACTAACCTCGCCCTTTCAAGTTTCTTCAGTGTTTAACAGGATAAGTACTTTAGAGCTAGTATATATAGCTCAGTGGCTGAGTGCTTGCCTAGCACATGCAAGGTCCTGGGTTCAATCCCCAGCATGGCAAAAATAAGAAGAGGACAACAACACTTTATAGGTGGGAACTGAGAATATGAAAAATATCTTACATAATGTAAATGCTTAATAGAGAATAGCTACTATTATAATTGTTACCACTGTTATGGTTATCAGAGACTATCAAGAACAGACATACTGAATTACCACCTTAGTATAAGGCAGCACCTAGATGATAGGATGACCATACTTGACACAAAGGTAATGGCAAATAGATTATTCAGATATGGACTACTTATATATACACTTATTGTAACATCAAATTCCATACCACCACTTAATTTGCATTTCATAAAAATACAAATTAAGAATATGGAAAAATATTTTGATCAGGCCTTCCTTTATAGATATAAACATCTCTTTACAATGATTTGAGTTTTTTTAAACATACCTTTAAAATGTAAAACTGACAGTAATTTTACAACACTATTCTAAACTATCAAGAAATCATATCAAAAAATCATAGAAATTATATATGCAAGGGAATCATTTTAGATGCACTACATAATTCTAAATATACACCCATCTTAAATTTTAAGTTTTCTTTGTAATTAGTTCTTACTAGGAAAGCAAGAGACACTTTTTAGAATGGCGCAGCATTCAGATAAAAATCAGAAATTTATTTCAAAGTATTTTTAAGAAACATAAAGCTACCTGACTATTTTCAAAGTGAACAGCCACAATGAGCTTTCCTCCATAAAGTTTATCTTCCAAGTTTCAAGGACAGATGGTTCGTGCTCTGGAGGATATGTCTGCTTCAGCCAGTCAATCCACGATAATCCCACAAGAGATGAATCTTTTCCTCACTGAATTTACGCATTTTCTTCGAAATTCATTCACTTCAGGATCCTTCAAGGCATCAATTCATGAAGACCTAAACATATTTTGTAAATGTGTCATTTTCAGTAGCTAATAATAAATTAAAACACAAAATATTTTCAGCAAAAATTAACTTGATGTTTGGTTTTTATCAAGCAGACCAAACTGGGCAGGAAAATAGTATGAAAGATCATAAAAGAAGCTAGATAAAATATTAAAAATAAATCTCATATACAGAAGACAAATATAAACTTAAAACCTTATAAAACGAATGTGGATTGATAGCCAGTCATATAATCACTGAAATTCATAATACAAAATTTAAAACTACCTATAAATGAGCATAGTTTTTTTAAACAAAGCAAATAAATCACATTTAAAATATATGAGAAAGACTAAAAATCTAAAATTGTTCCAAATATTGTATCAGAAAAAAGAAATCTCCAAATTATTATTTAACTTAAAACTTAGTAAACCACAGAGGTAGCTACACTGGTGCAGTGAAAGAGGACATGTAGAAGATCTCTATACTTCCTGTCAATTTTCCTGTGGACCTAAAACTGCTCTAAAATATAAAATCTTAGCTGGGCATGGTGACATGCCTCTATGATCCCAGCACGAAAGAGACTGAGCAGGAGGATACTGGAATTCAAACTCAGCCTGGACTACTAACCTGTCTCCAGAAAAAAAAAAATAAATGAATGAATGAGAGAATGAGAAAGAGGAGAGGAGAGGGAGGAAAGGAGAGGGAAAAGTAGGGAAGGGAGGAGACAAAAAGAATATACAGCAGTGTAGGTGTTAAAAGAATAAAATAGATCTATGTTATTAATAGCTCCAGATGTACTACATTTAAAAAGTAGGAAAAGAATAGGCAGTAAGCTCTTTTATGCAAAAAAGAGCACACAGAAAATGCTAAATTTTTTATTTAGGAAAGATAATCGGAGGCATAACTCAAATAATAGAGTGCCTGCCTAGCAAGTATGAGGTTCTGAGTTCAATTCCTTTTCACTGGAGGTTGGAAAAATTAATCATGCAGTGTGGTACCTTACACTTTCAACACAGGAAATCATCAGAATCCAAACAACAGCTCTGAAATGATTAGTTGGAATAAACATGGAGAACTAAATGAATAGGCACCCCATCTTTCAGAAAAAGGTATTTTAGCCTGCTAAAGGCAGTCTCCTTTGGAGAGGAGGCAGCAGCCGTGTTCCTGAAATGTAACTGAAATAATTGTGTATTGTTTTCCCAGGAGGCATGATCTCACCAAGCCCTGGGTAGACTCCTCATAGACAGCTCAGCACTGAAAACATCAGCTTGTTAGATATTAAGGTGAAAATTCATTCCAAATACTAAAAGAGATTTATTCAACTTCCTAAAACTTGTATATATGATCATAATGCCAGCTTTTCTAGATATATTAAGAAGTACAATTTATAAACAGAGATGAGCATATACACTTATGCAATGAAAACACTGTTTATATCTTGATCAAACTGCAGGGCACACTACACAAACAGCTTATATACAATAAGCCACATGATACTGCATGAAACATAGCATACTGTTTATAGAAAGAAACTGAAATCTTTTAGCAGACCATTGTGCTGTGCTTAATGGTAAGGCCACCAGATAAAACAGCATGCTCTGCCAAGCACAGTGGTGCACACCTATAATCTAGTACTCAGGAGCTGAGGTAGGAGGAATGCAAGTTCGAGGTCAGTCTGGGTCACACAGTGAGTTCAAAGCCGGACTGGGCTACATAGTGAAACCCTATCTCAAACAAATAAAACATCACAACAATATACAAACAAAATCCAGCATGCCCAGTTCAATTTGAATTTCAGATAAACAATGACTAATTTTCAGCCTAAGTATATCCTATGTAATATTTGGATCTGTTGTATTTTATTTGCTATGTTTACCAAGTTTATTTAGGTAGAAGTAATGTGGCTACTTAATCCATACTTAGAACACTGAGACCAGAGAAACACTCTCAGTTTTGAAAAAGTGGTAAACATCAAGGGCTAAGATGCCCTAAAGAAACTGTGCTCACTCTGGTACTTTTCAGCATAAAGATACACAAATTATTTAGGTAGAAGTATGTGGCTACTTAATCCATACTTAGAACACTGAGACCAGAGAAACACTCTCAGTTTTGAAAAAAGTGGTAAACATCAAGGGCTAAGATGCCCTAAAGAAACTGTGCTCACTCTGGTACTTTTCAGCATAAAGATACACAAAGGTTATATATTTTCATCCACAAAACCACAAAACAAACAACTCATAAAACATACAAAATACATTTGAACTAAATACATCAAAAATATCAGTGGATATTCCTGTCCTGGTTACAAGACTGTAAGTAATGTTTTACACTTTCTTTTCTTCCACATTTCTTTAATTTTTTTTATGAGCACTAAAACGAAGGAATTTTTTTTTCTATGGATGGATACAAAGTGAAGATCCTAATAAGCAAGAGAAAGTTTCTGAGTAAGAACTAAATTTACAAAAATCTTGCATGTCTAGAAGATAAAAAGAGTAGCTTTTGCTGGGCCACTGGTTGTTAGAAAGACTTTACCATACATGATTATAAACATGTCTGGCATGGCTCAAGGATGGTACGAGCCTGCTTGGCAAGAGTGAGGCCCTAGGTTCAAACCCAGGGCCGCCACAAAACTAAAACAAAAAAAAAGCTAGCTATCCTCTGAAGTAACACTTCTCAGTGTCATCAAATATCAGTGTCATTTAGTAAACCATAATTTCTTTCTAATGTGCTCTCAGCGAGTAACCTCAGGAACATCACTAACTAGTCTCAATTACCATAAGATCCAAAGAAAAGCATCTTAAAAGGAATGTACGCATTATCACATTAGAGAATCTCATCAATAGAGGAAGCCAATTAGACTCAAACCTCCAGTGATTGTCTGGTTTTTGTATCTAATCTTCAAAGTCCCTCAGTCAAGTACTGACAGTAATCCTAGGCTACTTGGGAGGCTGGAGATCAGGAGGATCACAGTTCAAAGCCAGTCCAGGCAAATATCCAAAATAACCAGAGCAAAATGGACTGGAAATGTGGCTCAAGCAGTATAGTGCCTCTTTGTGAGCAAGAAGCCCTGAGCTCAAACCCCAGTCCCACCAAAAATAAATGAATAAAAGCCCTTCCTCATAAACTCTTATAGTTTGTACATCAAGTCAATCCCCACTCTAGAGTGAGATCTTGATAAGCTGTTGGCCTTGGGACCCAAGATTTCTACATGGGGATTCTTCTCTGTTCTTAATTTTGTTAAAATTTTCCCTAGAATTAATTTTCAAGGAATTGCGTAGACATGATATATACTTACTCTCTACAAAAATAAGTTATAATTAAAATAATTTCAGTTAAGGAATAAAATTTGTCAAAAACATGAGCTATTTATGGAAATATTAACCCGCTTAAAGTCTTAGTTGGTATAGAGAGTTCGTAAAAATATGCTCACATTTTAAGGATATCTCTCTTAGGAAAGGCTTTGAAAGTACATGAGGTAAGGAACAGTCTTGTTTTGTTTCAGCAGTGCTGGGTTTAAACTCAGAGCCTCAATTTTACTAGGCAGGCTCTCTACCACTTAAGCGTGCCCCATCCCTTTCTGCTTTAGCTACTTTTCAGAGGGTCTTGAGGTTTTGCCCCAGCTGGCCTGGCCATGATCCTTCTAATCAACCCTCCTGCATAGCTGAGTTAAAGCTTGCACCACACCAGCTTATTGGTTGAGATGGAATCTTGCTAACTACTTTGCCTGGATTGGCCAAAATTTGATCCTCCTGACCTCTGCCTCCTGAGTAGCTGGATTGCACATGTGGCACACGATGCACAACCTAAGAATAGTTTTCTTCTTTCTAAGTAGTCAAAGACCAATAATTTGAAAAATAAATAAAATCATTAGTTAAAAACAACATTACATGCATGCACAGAATTATCACAATGAAACCCTCTTGTACAATATGTTCTTATAAAATATTGGTAGAGGAAAGCACATATAAACCACAAGCTCTTGTATTCCATGGCAATACTCTAAACATTTACTCTCATTCTGCACTTTTTCCCAAACTGTAAACAGTACAGGTCCATGGACTGCACTGTGAAAAGTTTATATCTCATGATATACTTACACAATAAACAATGGATACACTAAGAAGTCATACTAAGAACTTTTAAATTACCTTTTCTATAAGGACACCAATTTTTGAGTCCAATTTTTCTGCAGGGTCACAACTTTTGTCACTAATTTGAGAACTGGAAGAAAAGGTCTGACATCACAAAGTCTTCGTGTTTCATTTCAAGCTCCTCATATACCGCAGTTTGATTCACACATGCAAACATGTAGGAGTCAATTTCCATAAGGAGGTTAAACATGGGTCTTGTGAACTTGCTTCCATAACATCTGCAGGAAAAAAAAATAAACATATTTATCTGGAATGGAGACACTAGTCTAAGCGTACAAGACACATGTATAAGGGTGCCAAAATCAAAACTCATTCAAGCTCACCAAATGTTTAGTAAGTGAATTACACATATTATAAAACTGTGAAAATAAAATAGAAGTAAATTCCAATGTATTCCAGCCTAGATACATTAAAGTTTTGGGGTTCTGTTTTGTTTTCTGCAGTAGTGGGGAGAACCCAGGGCCTTATAAATGCTGTGCAAGTGCTCTACCACTTGAGCCAAGAAGACCTTTAGATTTTTTTTGTCTCTGAGATGGAGTCTTGCTAACTTTGCCCCCAACTGGTCTAGAACTTGTGCTTCTTCTGCCTCTGACTCCTAATAGTTTGGATTATAGGCATTCTACCACCATGCCCAGGTGCAACATTTTTAAAGAGCGAATTGCAAGACAGTGTTGTAGCATTACTCCATGTTTGTAAAGTAATATAACAGCATAACACACAAAACATGCATTACAAGCAAAATACTAAAAAGCAAATTATCTATGGCGATTAAGAGTCAATGAGAACTTTTATATTTAATGTTCCTATAAATATTATATATTCCAATCAAAAGAATTAAACATTTAAAGCATGCATCACCAACTTTATACCAAGTCTTAATTCTTTCCTCAAGAATTCTTTTCTATTTATCCCTACTAGCACTGCCCTGTCAGGGAGAACACAATCAATCTCTCATCCTCTCTTCCCATGTCTCCTGGATGACATAATGTAAGAGGTTCATCGTAGAAACACAAACAGGATCACAAAAAGGGATTACATATTGATAACCAGTACAAAAACAAGAGATGGAGATAACAGACTGGAGTAAAGGTGTGGGCAATCCCAAGAGTCAGTTATATAAACCAAACAAGAGAAAGCACAGTCAAGAAAAGAAAAAAGTGGGTAAATGGTGCTTCATTAAATTAAAATTTTCTGACTGAGTATGGTGATGCACACTTGTAATCCCAGAGGCTGAGGCAGGAGGATGGTGAATTTGAGGCCGGCTAGGCTGCACAGTGAAACTCTGTCTTAAAAACTAGTAACAATAATAATAACTAAAGGATGTTATCAGAATGAAAAGGCAACCCACAGGATGGGAGAAAATGTCTGAAAATCACATATCTGAAAAAGATTACTATCCAGAATATGTAAAGAACCTATAACTCAGTAAAAAAACAGTCAAATTTGAAAATGCAAAACTCTTGAAAAGACGACCCTCAAAAAAATAATGGCTGATAAGAACTGCAAATATACTTGACATGAGTTATTACAAAATGCACATAAAACCACATTGAAATAACACTTAATATCTATTAGGATGGCTATTATGAAGAAACCAGAGGGCTGATGGAGCAAATCAAGTGGTAGAGCCTGCCCAGGACAAGCCCTGAATTCAAACCCCAATCCCCAAACAAACAAAAAACCCCAGAAAATAACAAGTTGACAGGATGTAGAAAAACTAGAACACTTAAGGCACAAGGCCTGATTCAAAACCCAGTACTGCCGAAAGAAAAAAAATGGACCCTTGTGCATTGCAGTGGAAATGTAAAATGATGCCACCACTGTGGAAAATAGTTTAGAGGGTCCTGAAAAAGTTAAAACACAGCCAAGCACTGGTGGCTTCACTCCTGTAATCCTAGCTATTCAGGAGGCAAAGATCAGGAGGATTGCAGTTCAAAGCCGGCCCAGGCAAATGGTTCCAAGACCCTATCTCAAAAAAAACCCATCACAAAAAAGGGCTGTGGAGGGCTCAAGGTATTGGCCCTGAGTTCAAAACCCAGCACTGCAAAAAAAAAAAAAAAAAAAGTAAAACATATGAATTACCAGGGGTGGGGGGACACTTTATTGAACACTTGCTTAGCTTGCATAAAGACTGGTTTCTCCCCAGCACCGAAAAAGCAAAAAAACAAAAACAATAAGAATTATCACTTGATTAAACATATCAATTCTAACCAAAAGAACAGAAAGCAAGACTCAAGCCAATATTCACAGCAGCACTGTTCAAAACAGGCAAAAGCTAGAAACAATTCAAGTATCTGTCAACAATAATGGGTAAACTATACATGCATATACATACATGGAACTAGTCTTAAGAATGAATGAAATAGCATACATGCTACAATGCTATAAGCATACAAATCTCTGAAAACATGCTAAGTGAAAAAGGCATGTATAAGAAGCTATTTCTTATACGATTCCACTTATATAACGGACCAGAATGTCAAATTCATAGGAATGAGAATAGAGATTTCAGCAACTAGAGAAAGAGAAGTTAGGATGTAGAGTTAATGTTTGGGATGATGAAAAGTGCTGGAGATGGGCTGTGATCGCTACACAGAATGTGAATGTGTATCTAAATGGTGCATTGTATTGTCCCATATTTCACAACAACAAAATGATGCAGGAGTGGGACACATGTCAGTAATCCAGCACTCAGGAGGCTGAGGCAGAAAGATCATCAGTTTGAAGCCAGCCTGGGCTACATATAGAGTTCCAGGCTACATACAGAGTTCCAGTAACACATAGCACACCCTGTATAAGGATGATGATGATGATGAACATGATGAAGAATACAGGAGGGAGGAAGAGGGAGAAGGGAAAAAAAAAAAAAAAAAAGAGAATTAGAAAAAAACAATTTCATGTATATGTTGGTCTTCAGCAAAAACTCGTCCCAGAGTCATTGTAAAAATGTAGTATGTGCATGTGTTATATGGGGGTGGGAACCACTGAACATCACACAAAAAAAAGTGCGACGAGCTAACTTGATGTTTTAATAACCTAAACAAACATCTCAAACTCGCTAATATAGGTCAATTTTTAACTCAGCTATCACATATGTGTTAAAAACAATTAAAGGTGAAGTGTAGACGTTTGATGTGTCCATGAGACAGAACATGTATCAAAAATCTTTAAAATACAATGACTTACAACTCCCTGTATAGCTATCCTATCTCAACTAGCAAAAAACCCTTTGGTCCTTCCTATTATTGCTTATACTCTCTCTTCAACAAAAACCAGATATAAGACAAAATAGTTTCTGCTGGGTAGCGAGGTAAGAGGAGTAAGGGGGAGGGGAAGGGGGAAGAAATGACCCAAACATTGTATGCACATATGAATAAAAAATAAATTAATTAAATTTAAAAAAAAATACAATGACCTAAAAGTTAAACCTCTCTCAGATTTACCATAATTTACATAAATTACATTTTCTACAATAGAATGACATTTTACCCTAAGTGACATAGAAAGTGAGCTAAGTCTTTAGAAATTCTGGCTAGTAACATACCTGCTTAATATAAGAAATGGTAGCTTCCCGAGGTACATCCAACTGGATATAAATGCCAGTGGGCAAAGGAAATCCCACAGATACGGAGCCATCAGACGCTATCTGTGAGTCCACTGCCCAGATGTCAAGGATGTCTGCCATAGCAGAAGGCATCATGAAGTTGAAGCACATTCTAACCACGGGGCCTAGAAATCAATACACCAAAACAAGAAGAAAACAGCCATTAGCCAATTTTAATATGACAAGCCAGCATAGTAATACACACTTGTAGTCCCAGCTATTGGCGATTGAGGTAGGAGATGTTGTGAGCCCAGAGTTGGAGGCCAGCCTCTGAGCGTATTTTATTATCACTACATGGGTTAAAATAATTACCCATAGTGATTCAATTCCAAGGTAAGTCTACAACATTTGAAAGAACTGTAGGTTTAAAGATATAGGGTCCCTGAGAAATTCCATTAACAACCACTCACCACATAATTTCCTCCTAACTCTTTAGGAAATATTAATTTCTTAGCTATGCTTTTCCTACAAACTCCAATGAAAATGGCAATCAAGAGAGCCCTCTCAAGATGGGTGCCAGTGGCTCACACCTATAATCCTAAGTACTCAGGAGGCAGAGATCAGGAAGATCGTGGTTTGAAGCCAGTCCAGGCAAATAGTTCACAAGACCCTATCTCGAAAAAAACCCATCACAAAAAAAGGGCTGGTGGAGTGGCTGAAGGTGTAGGCCCTGAGTTCAAGCCCCAGCACTACAAAATACATAAATAAATAAACAAACAAATAAATAAGAGAGAGCCCTCCCAGCCTGGTACAGGGGTGGTGGCTCACCTAGCTACTTGGGAAGTGGAAAGTGGAAGGATCATAGTTCAAGGTCAGCCCAGGCAAAAGTTCATGAGATCCCATCTCAACCAATAAAAAACCTGGGTGTGGTGGCACATGCTTGTCACCCCAGCTATGCAAGTGGGATAAATGGGAGGATCTTGATCGAAGCCCACCTAGACATAAACACAAGACCCTATTGTAAAAAATAACCAAAGCAAAAAGGGCTGGAAGAATGGCTCAAGTGGCAGAGAGCCTGTCTAGCAAGCGTTAAGACCCTGAGTTCAAACCTCAGTACACAAAAAATAAAAAAAAAGAGTGCCCTCTCTCATGGCAGGGCAGATAAAAAGAGTAACAGAGGGGTGAATTCGATCAAAGTACAGTACTTCCCATGCACATATGGAAACATCACAATGAAGCCCCTTTGTATAATGACTGTATGCTAATAAAAAAAGAGACCTCTCTCAGCTAGGATAATTTTTATGACAATGCCATAACCCAACACCTGAGCATTAAAAAGGCCAAATTCCTCAGCTCAGCTAACAAAGCCCTTCCTGCTGTCTCTCTCTCCGGCCTCTTTCACCTTGTTTTCCCAATCACTCCACAGTCCAGAACCTTGTACCATGGTGCCCTTTGCCTTCCGCTGCTAAACTTGTGTTCACATAATGAATACTTCTCATGTTAAACCCTCTCCACAAATGCATCTTCAACTGTGCTGTTGAAGTCTCACCTATTCCTTAACACCTTCTTTCAAGAACTTATAACTGTAACAGTAGGAGAAACACAGACATTAAAGTTAAATAAAGCAAATTCAAACCCCATGTATTTAAAGAAAGAATAATGACAAGAGACAGGAATCACTTTGAAGCATTTTTTTCTGGGGGTGGGGAAGTGCTAGAGTTGAACTTAGGGCTTCACACTTGCTAGGCAGGTGCTTTACCACTTGATCCATGCCTCAAGCCCTTGAAGCATTTTTGAACATTAGAAACAATAATGACTTCCATGGATAAAAACATCAAATATAAAGCCAGGTGCCAGTGGATCACACCTGTAATCCCAGCTACATGAGAGGGTGAGATCAGGAGTATTGCAGTTCAAGGCCAGTCTGGGCAAATAGTTCTTGAGAATCCATCTCCAAAATAACCAGAGCAAAATGGACTGAAGGTATGGTTCAACCCACAGAACACCTTCTTTCAAGCACAAAGCCCTGAGTTCAAACCCAAGTCCCACTAAAAAAGTAATTAAAAAAAAATCTAACATAGATATATATAAATCATGAGTTAACAGTAATACAAATCACCCCAGTCCCACCTCCCCCAAAAAAAAGACACCAAATGATTATTTTGAAAAACTGATAATGGAGAAGTAAATCAAAGACATCTTGTTAGTACTGACTATATTTCAGAGTAAACAAACTATCGATAAGGGTTCTTTTTTTTAAAGGGCATGGTGGCGCACACCTGTACTCCTAGCACTCAGGAGGCAAATTCAAAGCCAGCATGGGCTACATACCAAGTTCAAGGCCAGCCTCAGCTATACAGTAAGATTCTGTCAAGAGAAGGATGGGGGGAGTAAGGGGAGGAAGGTGGGAGGGAAAGAGAGATTAACAGTTCTGATTTCATCACCAATTACTACATACTACAGATCAGGCTTTGCCAATGCCACCATGCCTCTAATCTATAAATTCCTCTCATGTGATGAGGAACATTAATAGTTCTCACCTCTAATCCAAGTACAGAACCCTTATAATATTTTACACATAATCTGAAATGAAATTATTGATATAACACATACACACACATAAAGTAATGCATTACTCAGTATGTAAGTGCTTAGACATGACCACCCACTCCTCAATAAGGTACTCAAAGTTTGTGCCCACACAAAGAACCATCATGGATGTGACAACTGCAAATATGGAGTGATTTGGATGGGTTATATTGATGATCAAATGCCACTACCAATGGTGCCATGATTTTTCCAAAACAGAAAAATCACTACATTAAAATCATACCAAACATACTTTGTATTACATTGATATATAATAAACAGTTCAATTGTAGACTTGGATAATAAAACCAGGCTTTTCACCTAAATGAATATCAGAAAGGAAATTCAAACATCACCTTTACCTAAGATACTGACTTGTGGTACAAAACTGTCCTGGCATTGCAGGATGTCTGCTTATCCATTACAGGACAGTAGCACCTCCCTCAATCACTCCATCAGCAGTAAGAACAAAATCACTCCCCACAGCCAGGCATGGTGGCCCTTGCCTGTAATCCCACCTACATGAGAGGCAGAGATGGGAGGATCACAGTTAGAAGCCAGTCTGGGCAAAAAAAGTTAGTGAGACCCAATCTCAAAACCAAACCAGGAATGCTGGCACAGCTACATGGGAGGCACAAATAAGAGGAACCTAGTCTGAAGCCAACCTAGGCAAAAAGCACAAGACTCTATCTGAAAAGTAACTAAAACAAAAAAAGGGCTAGAGCTGTGGCTCAAGTAGTAAAGTGGCTGCCTAGTAAATGCTGGACCCTGAGTTCAAAGCCCAGTGTGGCAAAAAAAAAAAAAAAAAAAGAAGGAGGAGGAAAGAAAAAGAAAAAAATCACTTCTCACAAATTTCCAAAGCATCATACTTCTACTTTCAGAACCACTGCTCTCAAACAATTCCTATTTCTCAAAGTAATGAGGTCTTCACAATGCATTTAGATCTAACCGAACCCTGTATTTCAAACACTAATGAACATCAGTTACTGTACTCTCTTGTTTGTGATGCTGGCGATCAACCCCAGGACCCAGAGCATGGCTGTGACACTGAGCTACCCACCTACTTTCTTGCACCTGTCTGTGTTTGTCATTGGCCAATTCTTAAGTGAAATTTAAGAAGTTCTAAGAGGAGAAAACTTAGCTCTTTACCTGACATAAGGAATGTTAAGTTCAGTATAACTAGCTTGTAGTTTTCAAGACCTTCAGTATAAACTTACTCATCAGACTACAAACCCCAGGCAGGCTTGTAGCATGGATATAACCCTATAAAGTAAGTAGGTATTGAGGGAGGAGCGGAATTCATGAAGTGTTCTGTGCTATAATTAAAATGGTACATCCTTTGTCAGACTAAAATGTAACATGGTGCTAAACAAATGAGGTAGCAGAACAACTTAGTAAACAGATAAATCTTACTAGAGGCTTTTTTGGGAGGTGGGGGGGCATGTTTGAAACACGGTCTTGCTATGCAACCCAGGCTGGCCTTGAACTTACCATATTTCTACTTCAGCCATTCGAGTGCTGGGATTACAGGTGCTTACCATAACAACCAGCTTTGCAGAGATTTTATGAAAACAAAATTATTGCTACTAATTTGAAAATAAAATATGTTCTGTGTCATATTTCCGTAGCCAGCCTTATTTCATCAAGAGCAATGCTTGCACACGAGAGTCCATTCCATGAGTTTCAGATTGGGAAGTATCTTAAGAGTAACAGACTTTTCCCATTTTAAAGAAAAGAAAACTAGAGCCTAGAGATATATAATAAATCATCCAAGAAGACAGAGAGACAGAACTAGGACCAAAGTCAATGGTTTTTCCAAGTAACTAACATACTGTTTTCCTGTTTTATTTATTTTCTTTAAAGGAAACATTCTTCAGAGGGTTACCTAACCTTGGGAGATCTTAAGTCTTATTCTTCTGTCTGAGCATGAAAGATAAAGATCAAAGGCTGAGACAAGGAGATGTTAAAACTATGAAAACAACTTTTCAAGAGACAATTAACTCAATTAAACCCTTGAACTGTGACTACCCCATGTCAGTTATTCCCTGGCAGAAGAGTAACTGGGAAGTAAACTCCCCAGCAATGTAAAGTCAAGCCCCTGAATGTTAGTTCTTTAAATCAAATGATAAATAGAAACCAACATAAGTTGGTTCAATTACCGACGAACAAGTTCAACCGAAAACTACTTTGAAAAATAACGAAAGAAATTTTAAGAGACTGAAACGATTTTTTTTTTTTTAATTAAAAGTAAGAAAACTGACCAGGTATTTCCCTTCTATTATATGATACGGTTAGGAGAAAAGTGAATGTTCATAAAATACATTAGTAGTGGAAGGAACCATGCAGTTATGATGAATGCTACATCTGCACTGGAACCTTCAGTTTCATTCAGAGGCCACTTAGATGAAATGCAATGGGATTTGGTCCCCCGCTCCCATTCCAACATTTCTCCTGGCAGCAAATCAGTGTTAATTGCTTAAAAACTAATCAGTGTGGAGCTTCATCTTAAAAACTTACTATTTTATCTGAATCACTCTAATTCTATGTAAAAGCTATCTCTAAAGTAATTCTGAAAATTATTAAACCATTTCAGGGGC